AGCCGTTGGGCACCCAGATTCACCATGTTTCTGGAGTGTCAAGCTGTGGGAAAAAAACAACAGAAAGCTTCGCTGCGATCAAAGCAATAGGCAGCCCAATGAGATGGGCACGGCCCTGGCACCAAGCGGTGATGTTGAAGGCTTCTGGCAAGGGCTTCAAGTACGGGTTGTGGAGCTGTGGAGGCTACGTGCGACTTATATAGGGGGCAGATACCGCCTTACAAGCTTATGCTGGCGGGAATACAATGTTACAACCATCCCTCCGAAACCCATACCTGAAAACGCCCTTGACTCTGGGTGGCTCGCAGCCTGCAACCGGGCAGAACACGAAAACGCTCACCTTTCAACGTCGCAGCGGGACGACCAACAGGGGCAAGCATATCCGGAACTTCCTGTAGCTCCAAGTGGCTGGTTCCCATGAAACATGCAGCCTTGCACGCATGCCCGGACGAAACCCGGGATCAATGAGAACATGGTTCACAAAGCACGCCTTTCGCCGAACATCTGCCACGAACATATCGCAGTAGTTCATCAGCAGAACCTCTAGAGTCCCTGCGGAAAGAACCTCTTCTGACTCAATTTACTTCAGGGATGAAAGCAACGCTTGCAGGAGACCTCGCAATCGGCCTGAGCAAGCGGCGTCCTTGCGCAAAGCTTGTCTCAGGGCATCTCGCACCTACATGGTCAGAGTTCAAAGGCCCAAAGGCACGCAGCCATGGTTGTTGGCCGAATCGGGTGCGATGAATCGAGCGCACACTCGGGCCGAATCGAGTTCGATGCGAGGTCTGAATCGAGGACAACGCAAGGCCAAATCGTGGACGGCAAAGCATCGAATCGCGTCGGCGCGAGCTCAGGCCGGCCAGGCTGTTAACCTTGCCGCGGCGCTGGATCCAACTGCTCGGCGGAGTTTTTCTTCTTCGCGCAAGAGCTTGCAGAGACGAACATGGTTCGCAGAGGCGTAGCCAAAAAAAATGGTCATTAGCGCGGTTGTGGCTGGCCCGTGGCCACGAAAGCTCTTCCCTGCGATCTGTGTGTCTGGCTGGCGAAATTGCTTGCAGCGGCCCGGGGCTGGCCGAAGCACGCAGGTGGCCCGCGGGCCACGAAGCGTTGCCCTGCCACAAATTCTCACGAAGCTTTGCCCTGCGCTGTCTTCGTCTTGCGAAACAGCTTGCAGGGGCGAGCTTCGAACGACAAACTGCTCGGTAGCGCGGTTGTGCGAGCTGAGGCAGCCCGGGACTGGCCGAAGCATGCAGGTGCCCCGCGGGCCACCAAGCTTTGCCCTGCGCTGTCTTTCTCTTGCGACACGGCTTGCAGGGGCGAGCTTCGTGCAAAAAACTGTCCGTTAGTGCTTGTGCGAGCTGAGGCACCGTGGGCCACGCAGCTTTGCCCTGCGCTGTCTTGCGAAGCTGCTTGTAGGGGCGAGCTTTGCACGACAAACTGCCCGTTAGCGCGGTTGTGCGAGCTGAGGCGGCCCGGGGCTGGCCGAAGCATACAGGTAACCCGCGGGCCACGAAGCTTTGCCCTGCGCAGTCTTTTGCTGGCGACACGGCTTGGAGGGCGAGCTTCGTGCCAAAAACTGCCGGTTAGTGCGGTTGTGCGACAGCTTTGCCCTGCTGTCTTGAATAGGGGCGAGCTTAGCTGAGGCGGCCCGGGGCTGGCCGAAGCGCGCAGGTGGCCCGCGGGCCACGAAGCTTTGCTTCGTGCAAACAACTGTCCGTTAGTGCTTGTGCGACA